CATCCTTGTTTGATCTGTTTAATGCCTCTTCAGCTGACTCTCGATCACAAGCACCAGCATACTACGGCTTACAGTGAAGGTCAGCTTCCTGTTCTGAAAAGGTAGAATTAGATGAAAAACTCAGGGATGGTCCATCCACAGTTGGGCTTCCTCCTTCTGGAAATCGTGGCAGAGGTATGGGTTTTTGATGGATTTGTTTCTGAGAAGGAGGAAACACTGGTGATGTCACAGCTTCTTGTCTGTGACTAGACTCTCGGTGGCGTTCAGCAGGTATAGGCCTTTCTTCACGAACACTTGATGCATTCTGCTGAGAAGCAACTGGAGTTGTCTTCAGTGGTGTAGCTGTTATTTTCCCCGCCCTCGGCAGTGGGGATGATGCAGCAGGTGAAGAAGGTGACTTGCATTCCCAGACCCCACTGTTTCGACCTGAAGCTGTCCCTGGAGGAAAAGCCGACTTCAAGGAGCTGTTTGGCTTGGTTGATCTATTCACCATGGGAGCTTTTTGAGATGGAAGTGAACTGCTTTCTGTGGGATGAATGTAGTTTTCATCATTATCATCCACAGGGACCACATAATCAGCCTCATCGTGAAGGTCTCTGGGCTTGGGAGGGACTTGAGGCTTGGGCAGAGCCCTTGGGGCTGGGAGAGTGGAGGAGAGTCTTGTTTTTGGGGAGGGCCAGCTGGGCTTATTGGGGAGAGTCTTGCTGGAGGGTGGAGACTGCCTCTGGCTTGACCGGTTGTCTTGAACCGTTAAAATCAATCTTAAGGAGTCACATTTGACCAGTGTAAATTTTGACCCATCTGATACAGTGGTTTTTATACTCAATTTTAACTGAGTCTTTCCTTTGCAAATGAAAATTTGGAAAAGTTAGATTGGTTACAAATGAATATGTTAAATGAGTTACACATTGTTCTGGGAAATGTTTCATAGCAGTTTGTCTTTTAGTTGCTTTTCAGTTTTGCTCCTCTGGATATATTAGGGTACACATAGTGAAGCAAATCTGAGCTTCATTTTAAGCTGGAACAGTTTCCCTGTCAGGAAAATAACAGGTCCTTGCATTTGGGATTCTAATTTCCTATAAAAAGTTGCTTAAACAGCAGGCACTGAAGTTAATCTTAATGTCACTGGTGAATTGTGCATAAAGTGTGTGAACTCTCATTGTATTATTTAAAGGGGAAACGACTAAATCACAGCAAGACTGGCTTACTGCAGGATCAGGAGAGCAAAGAGGAGCTGATGGCCACTTCTGTGCTTTTCAGACCAACTTTTCATGAAGTCCTTTGCTCCCTCATTCAACGTTGAAGTTAGGCTTCAGTTTCAAGGTTTCCTGAAATTCCATTTCATACTTTTTCCTACTGCTTTTTTTAAGTTACAGTGTACATGATAGAACTTTGCAGTAAAAGTGTTCATTTTTTGGCATATATTAAGATTATAAGCAATTCTGAAACAGATCATCTTTATCATCCAAGAAATATTCTTGGGATTTTTGGTCTCCTGGTCTTTTTAATTAGAGCTAAGTTACATCCTACAT